CACTAAGATTTTCCTCTCATTATTAAATTCATAATTTTATTAACAAATATTAATTGCTCAATTAATACTAAAATAAACAATTACTTTTTTCTTGAATTAATCGTATATAAAAATCATTAATGCTTCATTTCTTAATAATAATAATGCTTTTTTTAAGTGATAGCTGAATAAAATTAAATTAAAATTAGATTATTTCATCTTTATATAAAATGTATAATACGCGTCTATTAAATATAAGATAAGGAAGTTAAACTACTTGAGCATTTCTTGATGTCTTAATTAAAATTATTAAAATTTATCACCAAATTAATTTAATTTTTTAAGTATTTAATTTAATGATTAAATAATCTTCATTTTGATAATTGGGCAAAGCATCTAAAATTAAAATAATTGATTTATTTGATCAATTTATTAAGATAAAAAAATTGAGTATATTTGATTTTACACTTCACTATTGACTTTGTTTTTTTAATTTGAAAAAAATGAGCTCAGTAATGAGAGATGCAAACTTTTAAGTAATTCAATGGAAATCACAAAATTCAAATTTCACGTAATATTAATAGGGACTTTTGAAAATTTTTTCATCTATTAATAATAAACTTCTTAAATTGAAGTCAACTAGGAATTATAAATTTATTTAAAAACATATACTTCCAGAAAAATTAATCATTTATACACATCAACTCGTGGGATATTTTGGTATAATTTTTCTAATGATAGTATATATTCTAAAATATTATAATTATATGAAAAATAGTATGGTTAAGTAAATTATGTAATAGCACTTAACACAATTTATTGAAAGAATCATAAAAAACCAAATTAATTAGATTGAGTAGAAATAACAAAATATGAGAGTAAAATTATATATTTAGATTTTCATAAGGGTTTTACTTATTTTCCCTCAAGATCTATTTATCTAGTCTCTGTAATCGAATAGTCTGTATTACTTATTATTTCAATTAAATAAAGCATTCCTGGACTGCTGCCAGAAGGATCTTCGGAATTTCTAAAATTTTAATTAAGATAGGTTTCACATATTCTAATTATTCCATAAATTACAAATAATGATAAGTATGTGTATCTTACATTTTAAATTAATATTATTAATATTCTAAGTAATAGGAATAGTTGTAAAGTTTTTATGACTTGTTTTTTTTGGATATTAATTTCTTCGAATGAATAATCTTGCAATCTATTTGGTCTCATAGTTTATAAATTTTTAAACTGAGTTGTTCTAAAAGACTTCAATTAATTGAGTTGTCATATATTTATTTTGCGTTACACTTTGGGAGACTATTATCAAAGGTAGCTATCCAACTTATTTTTAATTCAATACTCCATTCCATTAATTTTGAGGAATGTGTCTCAAATTTGTTTGTTTTACAACTCTTTTTTTATCATACTGCATTTCTTATTGTTTTTAGGTTAAACTTATAACTTCTATTCATATTATAATTTCTATCTCTTGTTTAAATCCCTCTTTTTTATCCATTGATATTTAGGTTCAACTAACAAGATTTAATTGTTTTTATAAGTTTTGATGATCTTAAATTAATTGTTATAAGGCAATTTCCATATTTTCTTTAACATGCTGCCTTTTTTAATGATCGTTAAAGCTGCAGATAAGCAAAAGTTTTTAATTTGATCAGTAGTTTTAAGATCAGGTCATTTAAGATTCATACTTATTAGTATTCAACATGGATATTAACTTAATTAGATTCAACTTCATGATAATTTCATTATACAATATAGTATAATCGTAAATATGAATTTAGAATTAATTACTCAAGGGATTCAAATGACATCCTCTCATCCTATGTGATACCAATGATTGAAATCATCCCAATATTGTTATTTATTCAGAGATCTCTTTGACTTTTTTTAAATACCACTGTTATTACATAAAAAATATTTAAGATAAATGGCAAAAAATTTAAGAGTTACCTCATTTATCTTTCTCATATTAAAGTAAGTTAATTATAATTCACTTTCATAATAAATTTATTATAAAACAAATTTTTAATTATTCAATATTATTCAATTCTTATAAATTAGAATTTATGAAGAATAATTTTACTTGTAGAATATTTAAAAAATTTTTATTTATAATTTTACCTTTTTCAAATTTTTCCAAAATTATTTATTTAAGACATTTACTCAAGAACTTTGCAGCTAATAGACCATTTTAAATTGATTAAAATCCCCATTTAGATTATACTTTTTCTAATTCTTAATTTCATAACTTATGTGATTCGAAAAGTATAAACAATTAATCCCATAATCATTTAATGAATTTTTTTAGTTTAAATAATATGTATCATCATCTCTAAATAATCATAACGTATTTGCGTTTTTTTATATATAAAAATCCTTACTATTAAATAATTTTATAATTTCTTCAAATCTAAACCATAACTACATATAATTTATGAAATCAAAATTAAAGAACGTATTTCTTTAATTATCATGAAGTTATTTTATATGGTCTTCAAGC